ATATTTGTGCTTATATAGTTTCTTTAATTTTTAAGTTTAGATCTATGCTAAAGATTGACTGGTCAAAAATTAAAAATATCATAAAATAATAAATGTGGTAAAAATTAATAAAAATTTTGCTAAATATTAGCTAAAATCAATTGGGCTGAGTGCTAAAAAAAGAAAAATTGACAAAAAAAAAAAAAAATCTTTGAAAAATCATAAAAAAATACAAATTTCAAAGAACTATAGTGCAGATTTTATTAATACAACTAAGTTTGTATCTTAAGTAAAAAATAATCTTGGTCATAAAAAAGGAGTTTGAAAAATTTATTAATTTTCCTCTTTTTGTAGTACCTAGCATTATTTTTATTAAATTTTTCTTTATTTACTTCAAATACTTCAATAATAGTCTCTTGGCTTGCTAGAGAATAATATTTAAATTTGGTATTTTTTAATCTAAACCATTCAGTTTGACTATTTAATATTTCTTGAACATCTCTAACACTTTCTTTTAACTCAGATTTTAATTTACTAGATTCTTGAGCTTTTTTATGTATTTCGCTTAAGTATTAACCATTTCAAATAAAATTTCTAATTCAAAACTCATTGAATCATGCTTAAATGCTACACCTTGAAGACCCAAATTCAAAGTACTTATAATTTGTTTTGTAGGATTTGTTTAGCTATAATTAGGAGCTATATAAACTGTAATAAGCAAATTAAAGTTTTTATGAAGAAAAAGACTAATTAGTATAATTTGTACTAAACTATAATTATAACGATAATCTGAACCTCTATCAGTATAAAGACACAAAATTGGAAATATTACTTTATTTGCATATTGTATATTTAGCATATTTAAAAATTTAGCTGAATATCTAATAGCAAAGCTCAGTTCAAAAACTATATTTTTGTATAATACAAATACCTGACTATCATAAAATAATCCAGAGATTTTATTAGAAATAAATATAAAAAAAATTACAGAAGATATTAGAGATAATTTTAAAAAATTATAATTAGCAGTTGCCAAAGTGCTTTCTTGTGCAACTATTAAATATTGATTTTGTATATCCATAGAAACTGCAATATCTTCTCCAATTAGAACTTTGTGCTTATTATCAGCAAAAATTAAACAAGTCTATTGCTGATATTTGATACAAAATTTTCTAAAATAATGAAAAAGTGTAGCACAATAATATGCATCCTCAACTACAAAATGCACAACTCTTTCCGCTAATCATCAAAACACAAAATTCTCGAAAATAAATTTTAACAAAAAATATAAAAAAACACACAAAAGTCACTAAAAAACTAATCTCAGGCTCCTAAGTAAAGAGGAAGAGGACAACAAGAAACACTCA